TCTCACTCTTGCCTCATTTTTTTCTGCTTTGCTACTTAATCGTGGCAAGGGGGGGTCTGTAACGCAGTTTCCACAGTCTCATGCTGCTGACTCATCCCACCCTGAGCATGTGCCTCTCCCCTCTACTTTTCAATTGGTAGGGAACGCCCAGTATGTAACTAGGATTAGGTTCGGTTCTTTGGCATGAGTAGATGGTGGTATATACCTCTGTCAGGAAGCGCGTATCTCTTTTGTGATTCTGGGAGCCATTGATGATCATTGATTAGAACCACTAATCTATTAGGAGTTTCCAAAGTAGTGATATTCTAACCTTGTCATTCCTTCTTCATTATTGAGTGGAATGATTTTATAAGGAGGCTCTTACCCCCTCATAAACGATTTGGTGACTCTGAGGAGTCGTTCATACATCAAAGGTAAAATGATTCTTCTTGTCCTCTACTGGCCAGTTTTCAAGCCAGCGTTCTGTTCCACAGCATCCTCCACAGGACTCATCACTGAGGCGTTTTGTTTTTTAAGTATCATTATGAACTTTGGATTCATTTGATAAGTTTTAACCTGTGCAGTTATCTTTATTGATCCTCAAATATCCCCATCTTTGGCCAGTAAGAACCTATTCTAGATGGGCCTGAGTCCTTTTGATATTACCCTAATGGTCCTTAAGAGTTTCCTTGCTTTTGTATGACAGTACATTCCAGGCTCATCTAGTATATTTCATGCACTAGACCTGGAATTTTTTTAGGGAGCCTTGGTTGGTTTTAGTGGGATATGGAACTTAAAGACCATAATCTGGGTACTGCTTCTGGTTAATCTGAGAACATTTCACAGTTTCACTTCAGATCAAAATCAGGACTATAGGATTTTTATTTGATTCTATCTTACTTCTGTATTTTCTTTCGTACATCCCCCAAATCCCAATTCTCAATGACGCCACCATAATCAGGAGCTTTATCCCATAAGAAAATGACAGTATCAACATCATTACCAACAATATCGTTACTCAACAGTGTAAGATTTTTTGTGAAGTTATTTGTGTCTTTACAGTGTATCTCTCTAACCATATGCAATGACATTATGTGTTTTTTTTTTTTTTTTTTTTTTTTTTGAGACGGAGTTTCCCTCATGTTACCCAGGCTGGAATGCAATGGCGCAATCTCGGCTCACCGCAACCTCCGCCTCCTGGGTTCAGGCAATTCTCCTGCCTCAGCCTCCTGAGTAGCTGGGATTACAGGCACACACCACCATGCCCAGCTAATTTTTTGTATTTTTAGTAGAGACGGGGTTTCACCATGTTGACCAGGATGGTCTCGATCTCTTGACCTCGTGATCCACCCGGCTCGGCCTCCCAAAGTGCTGGGATTACAGGCTTGAGCCACCGCGCCCGGCCGACATTATGTGTTTTAAGTCACTTGGAATGGCTTCCTTCTGTGGCTTTGTGCCACCAATAGGATACAGTTGGCTTTCCCTGTCCACAGGTTCCACATTCTGCGGTTACAAAGAGCTAACTGTATACATGTTTGAGTTCATTTGCGTTTTGCTTTGGATATTTAGGGATAGCTTTCTAATTTTTTTTTTTTTTTGAGACAGAGTCTTGCTCTGCCTCCCAAAGTGCTGGGATTACAGGTATGAGCCACCATGCCCGGCTGCTTTTTAATTTTTTTTAATATTTAATTCTGCTTCTTAACTTCCAGTTTAATGGAATTGATGTGTAAAAAGGAAGAAAATGAAAAAAAAATGTAATTCTGCTTCATACTTACAGAAATATTTACCTGGTTCTAAAGAGACATTCATGAAGTCCAGGTTCTAGAGCTATCCCTTCCACCCCATTCTGTCTTTTTCTGCTGTTATGCTAGTACTGGTATTTTTTTTAAATGTAGGCAAATATGTGGGTATATTTCTGTTGCTTCCTTTATCTTAAATAGGATTGTATTAGTCCGTTTTCAGGCTGCTGATAAAGACATAACTGAGACTGGGTAATTTATAAAGGACAGAGATTTGATGGACTCACAGTTTCACATGGCTGGGAGGCTTCACAATCATGGCAGAAGGTGAAGGAGGAGCAAAGGGTCTTCTTACATGGTGGTGGGCAACAGAGAACTTGTACAGGGGAACTGCCCATAAGATCTCAAGATCATGAGATTATTCACTATCATGAGAATAGCATGGGAAAGACCCATCCCTATGATCCAATTAACTCCCACCAGGTCCCTCCCACGACATGTGGGAACTGTGGGAGCCACAATTCAAGATGAGATTTGGGTGGGGACACAGCCAAGCCATGTCAAGGATATTACACAGTTTCATCTGCCTTCCTTTCTTCACTTACCAATGTATCCTAGAGATTAGATTCCTCATTCCTGTTTACAGATTCATAGATATCCATTGTGTGGAGGTATATTTAATTTTTTTTAAAAATAAATTTGGATCTTATTGTATATAGAATTTTGTATCTTTTCATTAAGCATTTTGTTATTAAGCATTTCTCTATTAAAAATGGTTATTTTTATTTTTAAATTTTTTTGAGATGGAGTCTCACTCATACCCAGGCTGGAGTGCTGTGGCTTGATCTCAGCTCACTGCAACCGCCACCTCCCAGGTTCAAGCAATTCTCCTGTCTCAGCCTCCTGAGTAATGGGATTATGTGCATAAGTCACCACGCCCAGCTAATTTCTGTATTTTTAGTAGAGACGGGGTTTCATCGTGTTGGTCAGGCTGGTCTCGAACTCCTGACCTCAGGTGATCCGCCTGCCTCAACAGATGCATTATCCAACTCATCCAACTCCGCCCCAACTCCTTACCCCCCAGTATTCTTCTCCTGTCTCTGAGTGATCTCTAGGCTCCTGAGAAATCTAAATTGCCTACTCTTGTAACAAAGATCAGGCTGGGTGTGGTGGCTCACACCTATAATCCTAACACTTTGGGAGGTTAAGACAGGAGGACTGCTTGAGCCCAGGAGTTTGAGACCAGCCTGAGCAACACAGCAAGACACTGTCTCTACAAAAATTTTAAAAATTAGCTGGGTATGGTGGCATGTACCTGTGATCCCAGCTAGTTGGGAGGCCGAGGTGGGAAGATTCCTTTAGCCCAGGAGTTCAAGGCTGCAGTGAGCCATGATGGTCCCACTGCATTCCAGTCTCGGCAACAGAGTAAGACCCTGTCTCAAAAAAAAAAAAAAAAAAAAAGAGAAATTATTGATATGGTGCTATGGTCTGAATATTTGTATTACCCTAAAATTCTTATGTTAATATCCTAGCCCTGACAGTGATACTTTTACAAGGTGGGACCTTTTGGGAGGTGATTAGGTCTCAAGGGCAGAATCCTTGTGAATGAGATTAGTGCCCTCATAAAAGAGGCCTAAAAGGGCTCATTTTTGCCTTCCTTAAAAATAAAAAAAAAGTTGACTGGGTGTGGTGGCACATGCCTGTAATCCCAGCACTTTGGGAGGCCAAGGAGGGCGGATCATGAGGTCAAGAGATCGGAGACCAACCTGGCCAACATGGTGAAACCCCATCTCTACTAAAAATATAAAAATTAGCTGGGCGTGGTGGTGCGCACCTGTAGCCCCAGCTACTTGGGAGGCTGAGGTAGGAGAATCGCTTTAACTTGGGAGGTGGAGGTTGTGGTAAACCGAGATTGTGCCACTGCACTCTAGCCTGGTGACAGGGCGAGACTCCATGTCAAAAAAAAAAATTAATAAAAATAAAAATAAAGATCCTTGTCTTAAAGAATCAAGCTTAAGATTTATTAGTTGAAGCTTGAAACAGCAGATTTCTTAAGCATCTTATCTAAATTGTGGGACATTTTACCAATCTTGAATGCAGAAAGATAGCAAAGAGTCTGACAAAATATTTTTAAAATTCGTATTTTTAAGCAGTATACGTAGTTTTAAAAGACAGTTTTTCAAACATATTTGCAAGTAAAACTAAGATAAATTTATGGGTCATTAAAATTTACCTTAAATATTATGTGATAAGTTAGTTTTTAAACACTAATTTTGAGTTACATTAAAACGTTAAATGCAATAATTACTTAACGTGATGAAGAATGGTAACAAGAAGTCTTGTTAATGAATATAATTTATATTTTTCTAATCACAGTACACATTCACAAAGCTGTTAACTCATTCTTTTTTTTTTTTTTTTTTTTTTGAGACGGAGTTTCGCTCTTGTTACCCAGGCTGGAGTGCAATGGCGCGATCTCGGCTCACCGCAACCTCCGCCTCCTGTGTTCAGGCAATTCTCCTGCCTCAGCCTCCTGAGTAGCTGGGATTACAGGCACGCACCACCATGCCCAGCTAATTTTTTGTAGTTTTTTAGTAGAGACGGGGTTTCACCGTGTTGACCAGGATGGTCTCGATCTCTTGACCTCATGATCCACCCGCCTCGGCCTCCCAAAGTGCTGGGATTACAGGCTTGAGCCACCGCGCCCGGCCTGCTGTTAACTCATTCTAATAACTGCAGATCCTCTGTTCATGTGATTGTAGGAAAAATATCTGAGAAAGCTATTCATGAAGTTACATAACTTAGGTTGGGTACGGTAGCTCACACCTATAATCCCAGCACTTTGGGAGGCCAAGGCGGGTGGATCACTTGAGCCCAGGAGTTCAAGATCAGTCTGGCCAACATGGCGAAAGCACATCTTTACTAAAAAATGACAAAAATTAGCCGAGCATGGTGTTGCACGCCTGTAGTCCCAGCTACTTAGGACGCCGAGATATGAGAATCACTTGAACCTGGGAGGCGGAGGTTGCAGTGAGCCGAGATTGTGCCACCGCACTCCAGTCTGGGTGACAGAGAAAGACTCTGTTTCAAAACATAAATAAATAAATAAATAAACAAACAGAGCTGTGGATGGGGGCCCAGACCCCCTGCAAAGGGGAGAGGAGCCTTTTTACATATATATGTAAAATTAAAAAAATCATTTAAAGATATAATAGGCATACATAGCTCATATATTTCAGGAAAGAGAATTTCATTCTTACATTTTGTTTTTAGAAGAAATACCTTAAGTTTTTGCTGAAGGTGTTTTACTTCCACCTGCAGAGTCTTGCTAGCTGTTTGAGCCGCTAAAGTCTTCCGATTCTCAATAGCCAGCTGCCGACTAAAGGCTCTGCTATTCAACCTCAGTTGTTTTTCCAAGCTCTGAAAACAGTATATATTTTAACTATTCTGCAACCAAGTTAGGATTGTCAAAAACTTCAATTATAATGAAACTAACTACATTTATGAAAAGTGCACATTTTCAATACAATTTTAATGAAAGGCTTATATAGGGAACATATATTAGAATGAAGTATAACTGAAAGAAAGCCCCCAAATCCCAGATCCCAGCTCTAGAGAACAAATATCATATGTTTTGAGCCTGTTTTTTACATGCTCTAAAATTTGATTTAAGAAGTCTTTAGTTTTTGAGTTGGAGTCTTACTCTGTTGCCCAGGCTGGAATGTAGTGGTGCGATCTCGGCTCACTGCAACCTCTGCCTTCTGGGTTCAATTGATTCTCCTGCCTCGGCCTACGGAGTAGCTGGGATTACTGGTGCACACCACCATGCCTGCCTAATTTTTGTATTTTCAGTAGAGAAAAGGTTTTGCCGTGTTGGCCAGGCTGGTCTTGAACTCCTGGCCTCAAGTGATCTGCCTGCCTTGACCTCCCAAAATGCTGGGATTACAGGCATGAGCCACTATGCCTGGCTTCACTGAAAGATTTTGACCAGATCCTAAAATCAGTAGACATCGTTAATGGTCATTCCCAGATGACACGGACTGAATATGGACTCGAACCACCACATCCATCCATACTGATGGACTATAAGACAATGAAATGACTGATTTAACTCAATAATCATCTACACACATATTCATCTGCTCTCTAGAATGAGGACTATTTTATTGGAGAACTGTTTGATCTGGATTTGACAAATGGCTTACCAAAAGGACTATTTTTCTTTGTTTTAACATAAAAGTAGGACCTCCTCCATTATAACATCAGCACTTTTTCCAAACAGGAAAAGTAAAAGATATGGAAAGCTAAAAGGATGAAAGAATCACTAAAAATACTACTCCCTAAAACATTAAGGTTAAAAGAATAACATGTTTTGGTCCACATGTTTTCCTCCCCTAAATGCCTGCGACCAAACAGAGATTTCTCATACTTGGTGAAGTCCTTCTTATTTAAAAAAAAAAAATCGTTATGCAATTTATTTTGGTTTTACTTATAGGCATGAAAACATGAACTACTTAGATACATATATAAAAATGTATTTCCTGTCACATGACAGACATATGCTAAGATAAATACAGTATTACCTAAAAGGCCAAATAATATCACTTTGGTATACAAGAGTGAAAAATGAGGTTGCTCATTATTTTCTGTAGATCACGTATCAATTTCATTTGAGAAAAATTTCTTGGAAAATACAGAATTTTAACAACAGAAGAAATGTGAGATAAAAATGTGGAGGAAATGAACTGATATTTACTTAAAGATCACAGAAAATACTAGTGTTTCACCATCAAATATTAAATATTTAAATCCTAAATTAATTCCATTTATGTTTATGTCTATAGACTCAAACTATCTAACAGACAGAAGAATTCTTAATATGGTATCAATGCCTTCCCCCAAGTCCTCCCTTACAATGTATTCCCCAGGATTTTGACAACCATGTGCTGTTGAGGAAAATCCATCCAGTCATCTCTTTAATTATTTTAATTCCTTTTCCTTCCCTAATACCAGGAACATTATCTGGGACAAACTGCTATTTTAAAAATAACTACAAATGTCTGTGTGGTAATGCCTGGCCAAACTGGTGAGGGAGAATCCAAGTCACTGAACGGACACACTGAGTAGCTTTTTAGGGAAACAGCCTTTTAATAAACAGTTTAAGGGCTGATTTCAAAGAGAGGTTTCACGTAACACAATGCAATCTTTTCAGCACAGGAAAAAGGTCCCTTAACAGTGGCTGTACTGTCTTAGAAACGGTCATTTCCAGATAAACTAGTCGAGCCACAGAATGAACTCTTGTGCACTACAACAGGATGAACATTTCTAGTTTGAGCTGCTTCTGTTTTTCCTTCAAACCACTCCCTTTCCCTGCCCTCTATTAGACAATATAATTATTTAGTGTAGCATGCCAAGCAAAGCAGTTAGTAATGGTTTGTTACAGAGGGGGCACATCTATGACTAATGCACACCCTCTCTCTATAAATTCCGGACTCTTATAAAATGTCTGGGCCCCTGAAATACAGACCTGTATTTTTTTGTCATTTGCCTCCATTTTTGTTGTAATAATAGATAATTTCTGAGTAAGTTCTTCCCTTTCTGCAAGGTTTTTGTCTTCAGAAAGTTTCTGCAGTGCCTGCAAGGCATCTTTAGTCTTCAGTAACTGGCTGTCAGTTTCTCTAAGTTTCCTAGATATGGTTCTTTCCTTTTCCTGGGATTTCCTAAGGAGTTGCCTTAAATTTTTTACTTCATTCTGATGTTTAGCCATAATTTGTGGTAGATTATTTTGTGAATTCTCATATTTTCCTATAGCTTTCAAATGCCTAAGCTGAAGTTGTTTCAAAAATCGGTTTTCTATAAGGATGGCTTCCAATTTATGATTCATATCAGCTAATTCATTTTTTAGTCCTTTAATTTTATGAAGCCTTGCCGAGAGTATTCGATGAGCCATAGCATCTCTTCTTTGGGCAATCATATTGATTTGAGATTTAAAAAGTGATGTATTCCAGGTGTGCTTTTTTTCAACTGAGATTTCCTTCTGGCCTGTGTAAGCAGATAATCCAGTTTACTACTAGTAATATATACAGATATGCAAATATGCACAAATGCATAATCTCCCTCCTCCCCCAATGCACACACACCACACACATACACACAAGCGTAAGTGTAACCAGAAGGGGAAAAAACTAACATTTAATGAATGCCCATGCTTTAGTCTAGGTACTTTATATATAAATATCTCATTTAATACAATTATTTAAGGTCAGTTGTAATATATTTTACAGCTGGAGATTTTATTCAGCTATAAAATATATTACAACTGACCGTAAAGAACTGTATTAAATGATATATGTATAGCCACAAAGTGACACAGAATGGATTGAAAACCAGATCTTCTTTGACTCTAAAATCTGTGCTTAGATTTCTATTATAACAGCTAGACTAAAAACTGTGATAATAGGCCAGGTGCAATGGCTCATGTCTGTAATCTCCGCACTTTGGAAGGCTGTGGTGGGAGGCCCGCTTGAGGCCCGGAGTTTGCGAACAGCCTGATCAACAGAGTAAGATCTTGTCTCTAAAAAGAAAAAAATATTTTTTAATTTTAATTTTTATTTATTTTTTTGAGATGGAGTCTCACTCTGTCACCCAGGAAGGAGTGCAATGGTGCAATCTTAGCTCACTGCAACCTCTGCCTCCCAGGTTCAAGTGATTCTCTTGCCTCAGCCTCCCAAGGAGCTGGGATTACAGGCGCCTGCCACCACAACCAGTTAATTTTTATATTTTTAGTAGAGATGAAGTTTCACCATGTTGGCCAGGCTGGTCTCCAACTCCTGACCTCAAGTGATTCACCCTCCTCAGACTCCCAAAGTGCTGGGATTACAGGCATGAGCCGCCACGCCAGCCTCTAAAAAAAATTTAAGAAGTAGCCTAGCGTGGTGGCACATGCCTATAGCCCTAGCTCCTCAGGAAGCTTGGTGGGAGGATCACTTGAGCCTAGGAGTTTGAGGCTGCAGTGAGCTGGTACAATCCAGCCTGGGTGACAAAGTGAGACCCTGTCTCAAAGACAGACAATCCCCATGGTAACAGCTGAAATTTACTAAGTGCTTATCCTATGTCAGGCATTGAACTAAATGCTTTCTGTATATTATCTGATATAAACCCTTCAACAATATGTTATGGGTAATTACAGTGTAACATGAGAGCCCAGTGTAAAGATCTCATATACTCAAAATGCTCTTCAAAAAGTCATCAAATTGTATAGTCTATTTATCTATAGATACTGATTTTCCATGTCTCAATAAATCCAACATAGTTTTTCCTGTTACTTTGCCTGGGCACCAAATGAAGTAACTGGCATGTGTTCAGGGGTCTATTTTAAACAGAAAGTCTTTAAAAAATCACATTTAGCACCAACCTTACATAATTGAATTTGAGTATGTTAAATACATGTGTAAATGACTGTACTATTATCCCATTTTAATTTTTTTTTTTTTTAGACATGGGGTTTCACCATGTTGGCCAGGCTGGTCTTGAGCTCCTGACCTCAGGAGATCCACCTGCCTCGGCCTCCCAAAGTGCTGGGATTACAGGCGTCAGCCACTGCGCCCGGCCTATTATCCCATTTTAAAGATAAACACACTGAAGCTTGGGGATGTCCCTTGTCAGTGGGCACACAAGCTAGGAAGTGGAGAGACAGAGCCCACTGTCTGTGTGCCTATGCTAGTGCCCCACAGGTGTGTGCATTTGTACAATATAGGGGTATATGTATGTGTGCACCTGTGTATGTAAATATATATGTGGTGTGCAAGTATACATATTCATATATCTAGATTCTGAGAAGGAGAAATCGAAACTGGATTCTAAACTCTAAAAATGTCTGATCCTCATTCTGGAGAGAGGACATTTAGTGGCCAATGTCACCAGAGTCCTAACCTTAAAATACTGGTCCAAGTGTGGACACATCTGAGATGTGGCTTAATATGTTTGCTCCAGGTGGTGAAAAAGGCAATTCTACCTGTGATAGAAACAATGAACCAAGAGAGCCAAAGTGTGCCTTCCGGAAATGAAGGATTTGAATCACGACTGTGAAAGAATACATAGATTATACAACACAGTATCGGTATCACATCAATAACTGGTGGCCTGTCTTTACAATTATGTCTTCAAGTGTATGTTTTTTCCCACAGTTTAGTCAGGGCTATGGTTGAATATTGAGTATTTTAGAATAGACTTCCGAGCACACTAAGAAGTGGGAAGTGGAGCAGGCCAGCCTCTAGGGCACCTTCTAGAAGGCCTGTGAAGATGTGTCTGTGGTTTTGTTGAGGCTGTACACTTGAATACTCTGCGCACTGGCTAGGGAAACTTGAGACCCAGGCAATATGGATCAGGCTAGTTTAAAACAGGGGTGGTCGAGGATTGACATGTTCTATACCATGACTGAACCTGATCCCCAACTTGTAATGTCTTCCAGCTTTTAGGTGCTCTGATCCTGTAGGAGACAGGGCTTTCACTGAGACGAGGACTGGTGATGGGTTCCATGGGCACTGGAGACTTATATGCCCCTCTCATGCCAGGCTCAAGTGATGGGAAGGCAGAGGCATGAGAGGGTGCTGACGGACTAAGCGCCATGGCCACAGGAGCTCTGGCCAAGGCTCTGGGAGTCAAGAAGTGCACAGAGGGCATGGATGCTTTGAAAAGGGGAGGGGTTGGCCTTTTAAAGATCACATGGGCTTGGACAAGGAGATGTAAATGGTAAAAATGAAGGACAGAGGCTCCTCCCAATATTGTTCTTTGTGTAAGGCCGTTTCCACATCCCTGCCCCCTCATATTCCCTCCATTCCCCAAATGCATCTGAGACTGAACTTCCTGTCTATCCTAGTGAGTGGGTAGGGAGGATGAGCCAGGTTACACACCCCTCACTTGCATTTGAGGGGTAACAAATTCATACTATATCCATCATGCACACTTGTATAACTATAAAGGCTATGGAAAACTGGAAGAGGGTGTAAGCTTTAATGATTTTATATCTCATTATCCTAACCCACACATAATAAGAATTGTATAATTTATAATTTCAATCCCATTTCACAAATAATAGGGGCAGATTTAGCTGAATGACTATTCTTAAGATAACGTTTTAAACTGCTGAATTAAAACATTCACTTAATTCACCGCAAAGATAAATTTAAGTCCATAGTTGCCAAAACAGCATCTGCACATTACGTATAATGACGTATGTTCTTCTGAACAGTTCTAAGAATGTCCCCACGCTCTCTTCACGCACAAACAGACCTGTCTTCCCAGGCCCACCTCCCCCTCAAAGCCTTACTTTAACAGCTCTCTTGTTCTCCTCTGTCCATGCTGTTTCCTCCTCCTCTCCCTCCTGGCCTCATCCTGGTTCCCTCTCCTGTCACGGTCCCCTTTGGTCTCATCGTCCCATTCTATTCCCGTGCTCCTCCACACCTTCACTCCACCTCTGCTTCTGATATATGGGGGGTGGGGGGTCTACACTATATTTCACCCTAAAAGAGATGAAGCCATTTTCTCCAAGAACCAGGGTGAATAAGAGATTCAAAGGAGGAGCCTTTCCTTTTCCTATTCTCGGTAGTTTCCATTGTTAGCCTGCTAGAGAAGGTGTCTCTTCAACACCACCTTAGGTTGTCCACCTATAGCTGGACCAAGGACAACAGGACAAGGTGTTCCAAGCATCTGAATATGGTAAAGTAACTTCTTTTTTTTTTTTTAATACTAATGTCTTGAATGACCATGGCACATTTTTGGCATTGTATGGACAAAGAAAATACATAAAGGAAGCAATTTCCTAACAGCATACGTAATTGAAAGAACTCTGAAAGGACATTTTCTACAAAAGAAGGATAATTTTTGAAAAGCAAATTCTAGAATGATATTGCTATTTACAATGATTTAAAAATCTTCAGTGTTTGGCCAAAGCAAAAATTCTATTAAATTGAAGTCCTCACTTCACATTACTAATTTTCTCTATGAAATGTCTTTCTGCCATAAAATTTGCTTTCATCAATTTTCTAAGATGAGAATTGAAAATAATCTCTGATGTTACTGTTCTTTGGTGAATTCTGAATCTCTATTGGTAGTTCCTCATCCAGCGTTACCCGCATAGGGTAAGACAGCTACTTTTCATTGAACATTTGCTTGAGAAGGGGCTGCACTGGCTAAAACATGAAGCCTCCTTGCTTTGGGTTAGAATTATATTATACCAGGGTGCAAGAAATTACTTGCTGCTTAAATTACTTTGGCAAACACTGGCAAAATATGAACTGGGAACAAAAGAATAAAAGAAAAAGACAAGGAAATATTTTATTGTTCTGTGACAAAGCTTGAAGTTGTAATTAGTATTTTACATTTATCACATGCTGGGCAAGGGTTTCCTGGGACATAAAAATCTGGGTTAAAGATACGTGCAAGATTTATTCAAAATAATTGAGAATATTAATATACAAAAGGACACCCAAGGAAGAGCAAACCTTTTACTCTTCTGGATAATGGAATTTAAGATTCTGGTCTCCTGTGAAGTCAATGAATTAATTTAGGTTGCTCTCAAGTTATAAACAGGTGTCTTGCATAAATAACTCAATAAGCATTTGTTGAATAAATAAATGAGGAATCAGCTTTGAAAAGCTAAATTATAAGGTACTTAGAACTTAAAATGCATTTCTCTCTCACAGAAAGTTTTATAAATACAAACTGCCTTCTTGCATGATCCCATAAAAGCTTAGGATCAATATAATAGGTAGTATATAGAGTCAAGATCTCTTATTGTAAATCCCTGGAACCAGACTGTTTCAAAATTTGAGGGTTTTTAATGATAAGTACATACACAGTATTTTCCATAGTTCTCTCAGTGGGGTCTGGAACAACACCCTTTAATGAAGCTATGTATTTTTTATTTTTTTAACTTAAAAAAAATTTTTTTTTAAAGACAGGGTTTCACCATGTTGGTCAAGGCTGGTCTTGAACTCCCAACCGCAGGTGATCCACCTGCCTTGACCTCCAAAGTGCTTGGATCACAGGCGTGAGCCACCATGCCCGGCCGAATGAAACTATATTTTTGTAGTCAAATATAATACCTATTCACACTAAGTGAAATAAGATCTATTTCATATTAGTTCAAATAAGGTTTTTATTGCCAAATCAATTTTGACGCAAAGGATATGAAAGATGTTGGATTTTCGGAGATCTGTAAATTTCAAATGTAGATAAGGAATTGTGTATTTGTAGGATCTAACCATGATGTTCATTTTTGATGAGTCCAGCCATGAGAGAAAGAGTGGACTTTTCATCTCCTACCCTGGGCCTTGCCAGTGGATGTAGGACTCCCATCTCTCTAGAAAAGTGACATTTAACCTTTTGAGAATCTGGTGAAAGCTACATGTCCTCCTAGAAAAGTTTACCAACACACAGAGACACAAAAAAATGCATAGAATTTCATGGGTTTCACAGACATGTGTCTTAGATAAAGAACCCCTGGGCTATAGCAGGGGAACTGAAGATTCTAGGTGTTCCAGAAGTGGCACAGAGGGTCCTGGGCAGAGCTGGTAACCGCAGGCTGGGATGCAAAAGGCAGGGTAGACATAACAGTGGTAGATGTGCCCCGCAAACAGCAGGCTCTTAATTACTGTGTGCCTGTTGACTGAGGTGCTCTGAGGCTCAGTGTGGACAGGAGCTCCAGCTATTTCTATATAAGGAATACTTATGGGCTCAAGATTGCCTAAAATGGGAGGAAGGATAAGAAAGGAGATCAAAGATAACACAGGCTAATTCCAATTGGGACAGCTGGGAGTTGACAGAGTTGGTACTTTAAAAATCTACAAAGAAATGATATTATTAACAGCCTTTTGAACCATCTCTGTTTCAAAAGACTGTCTTTGCCAATAAGCCTCACTGGACTTGGAGACCATTCTCTTGGGGTGGAGACAGGTATTTACATTTCACTGGTGATTCAAAGATTGATTCTTCAGCTGAGATGAAAGGCAAGAAGCCAGCGAGATCCAAGTATTGTGGTACTCTGTAACAAGGCCACCTGTCAACTAAAAATGAACTAGCTTCACTAGTAGGTTCCAGTAGGGTAAGCCATGCAGGGACTAGGCTTTAGGTTTGAAGGCTTTCTGTTATTTTATAATGATACTTTTTTTTTTTTTTTTTTGAGACGGAGTTTCACTCATGTTACCCAGGCTGGAGTGCAATGGCGCGATCTCGGCTCACCGCAACCTCCGCCTCCTGGGTTCAGGCAATTCTCCCGCCTCAGTCTCCTGAGTAGCTGGGATTACAGGCATGCACCACCATGCCCAGCTAATTTTTTGTATTTTTAGTAGAGACGGGGTTTCACCGTGTTGACCAGGATGGTCTCGATCTCTTGACCTCGTGATCCACCCGCCTCGGCCTCCCAAAGTGCTGGGATTACAGGCTTGAGCCACAGCGCCTGGCTATAATGATTCTTAATTTCTCTATTTTCTAATTTCTTCCATAAAAGTTCACTTACAATACACATTTATAATATGGGAAAACAAACTGAGTTATCAATCACTTCAAATACTAGTGCAGCAAAATAATGTCATTATGACCAGAAATTTGGTCTTGCTTGAGAAACTTTACTTCTTACCTTTAGGTTGGGAGATTTTAGAAACATTATACTTTTTCTTCTCCTTTTCTTTTACCACAGGCTGCTTTAAATAATTTCTATTAATGGCCTTTTCTGAACAATCAGAGAGAAAGTCTTTTGAATAATCATACTGAGAACTTAAACTTCGGCAGGAGCACTGAGATCTGCTATAGTCAACACTCTTATCGGAGGCGTTACTGTTCTGTGAAGAATCGCCCGTGTCTGGGCTTCTCTTGCATTCTTCAGACCTGCTACTGTTTTCTAATGCCACACTGGAGAAATGTTCATCTATGTTTGTTTTTGTTAGATCAGCCAAAGACATAGCAAACAACCTAACCAAAAAAAAAATTTTTGAATTTATATTTATTAACATTAAAATGAACCAATGCTTTATTTTATATATATACATATTTTTGAGACAGGGTCTTACTCTGTTGCCTAGGCTGGAGTGCAGTGGTGTGATTATGGCTCTCTGCAGCCTCAACTTTCTGGGCTCAAGCGATCCTCTCAGCTCAGCCTCTGGAGTAGCTGGGACTACAAGTGTGTGCCGTCATGCCTGGCTAACTTATTATTATTATTTTTTGGTAGAAATAGGGGTCTCACTGTATTGCCCAGGCTGGTTTCAACTTTTGAGCTCAAGTGATCCTACCACCTCAGTCTCACAAAGTGGTGGGATTATAGGTGTGAGCCACTATGCTCAGATATAGACACAAACTTTGAATACTTTGAATAAGCCCTCTTAGTTGAATAAAGTGAGAATTTAAAAGTTAAGGAATAGAAAGTCAAATCCAAGAAAGACCCAAAATTTATATCCTTAATAAAATTAACATTAGTTAAAAATCAGAAGGTTCTGCATTTCTTTCTAGTGCTATGGCACTAAGACATGGTAACGCCACAAGTGTCTCTTTCATAGCAGCCTACCTCAAAAGCAGATTGAAACAAACAGATCCATCTTCTGAGGTCTTTAAAAGGATTATCTTTTCATTTAATTCTCAATTCTCCTGTTTTATCAAGAAAGCAAAAGGGAATTTAGCTGGCATTAGATCCTTTGCAACAGGAATCTAATATCACTCTCTCTACTGAGAGGTTTTTTTCTGTTAAGTTTCTGCTTTTTGCTGCATCTGCTTAACTCTCTAGCCTTCTCTTCTGATGAAATATATTAGGCAGTCTACAATCTCCCCACTACAAGGAATCAGTCCAAATGATCTAGTAGTAATTAATATTAGAATTATACTTAATATCTAACTAGTGCTCTTACTTTGTTCAAACTGCTTTCACATCACCTAATCTCAGCCACCTTGAGGAAACAGGTTCAGACAGGTGAACAGTTAAGAGACTGTCCGTGTTTTCCAGCTCCAGGGGCAGTGCTTTTCTCATTAAGCATCATGACTGCAACAACACATTGGTAGGAACATCACACACTCCTAATGCAAAGAATTTCTCTTTCTAGACACTTTCTGCTGTGTAGCGGTGGGCAGAAGCATCTAGATTAAGAAGAATCCAGGCTGGGCACTGTGGCTCACTTTGGGAGGCTGAGGTGGATGGACAGCGTGAGCTCAGGAGTTCGGGACCAGCCTAGGCAACATGGTGAAACTCTGTCTTTACAAAAAAACAAAAATATTAGCTGGGCATGGTGGTGCACAACTGTAGTCCCAGCTACTTGGGAGGCTGAGGTGGGACTGCTTGAGCCCAGGAGGCAAACGTTGCAGTGAGCTCTGATCGCACCACTGCACTCCAGCCTGGGTGACAGGGCCAACTCTGTCTCAAAAAGAAGAATCTCAGATGTAGACATAAGGGATCCTGAAGGACTAAAAATGCTCCATTGTAGCCCTCATAGTCTTGCGTGTCCTTGTCCCCAGGAGCTGTTCCTTCCTGCCCTCTTGCTCATGACCTCAGTCCCTAACTTCTTCCTCACCTATCTTGATAAATCCAAATTGCTCAAACAATGGTTGATAATCCTCAAGAAGTTGTATTTTGGCCAGTTGTTTATGGCTCAAGCTAGACTTCAGCTGACTTCTGCTCAAGCCCTATAAAAATTCCCTCCTTCTTCCTCACTTTAGAACACTCCTTCAACAAGTCTCCTGCAGGCAATTTTGGATAAAGGCTTAAATCAAGAGTGTTTTTCATGTTACATTCTTGAATTGTCCAACTACAGAAGTGGCAGGGAGTGTGGTGGAGTAGAAGGTGATGACAATTTGGAGGTGGACAGGCTTGGGTTTGAACTTGCGTCTGCCTGTCACTTAAGTGCTCTTGTCCATCTGTAAAATGTGAGTGACACCACCAATCCCATAGGGTTGAGAAAGAAAAGAAGCTTATCTGAGGAATACAGATCCCCTTTAAATGATCAGGCCCAAAGAGGCATTGGAATGAGACTGCAGTCACGTCCCCCATCCCCCCAGCTGAGCTAAGTAATCATTTCTAAGCTGCTTGCTCCGTGGGCTCTTGACTGATGCCACAAATAGCTATAAATTAACCTAACAATGCCATATGCTGGACACCACAGCTCATACCCTGTGGTTCAAACAACAGTCTAATCACCAATCACTGTCATTTCTGTGAACCTATGAGAATTCCTGAAAAACAACGTTTGTAATTCTCCCTCTCCTGACTTGTCCTTTTTTCTTTAAAAAATGCAAGCCCCTCACAGAAGGCTAACGTGAGCTTCCATTGTCTCATGTTTGGTAAAGTAGAAGACTAGCCATCTTAGTCTCTTAGTTAAATAAAAATGGATATAACATGAAAACAAGAAAAAAATTTCAAATAGAAATCCTGTAGAGCCACATAAGAATAAACAAGACTATAAATAACTTTGCTCCTAAAACAATTCTACCAGATTAAAATGTCCCCTAATGAGGGCTTTCTAGACTTAGCTGTGAGAAAGGTGGTGGATTTGAAGGCGTTACCAGCCTCCACAGGTGGATGTGCAAGTCATAAGCCTCTGTGGATGCTGAGTTGTTCCATTACCTACTGGCTCCAGTGGACAAAATTATCCACAATCTTTCCTGCTCAATAATTTACCTAACCTAATGTTGGGGATCTAGCTTCCTCAGGATGGGTAAAGGGTAGTCTTACTATAAAGACAATTTTTTTTTTTTTTGGTGGGATGAATGGGTAGAAAATGACTGCCACCAATTTTCTAGAGGATATACTGTCAGCTTGCTTTCATCAAACTTCTAAAACATAGTATGAGGCAGTGCAATTCTACTATTGATCACTATTATAACCTAATCTGTCTCACGTAAAAAAAGCTATAAGCAACTTCAGATTAATTGCTGCGCTCATCGATTTGTCTCATAATTAAATAGGCAAAAGTATCTGAAAATCAAAAATCATAATTTCAATCCACATCCTGAATTTTTGGGAGCTTACTAAATTTAAAAGTTTTCATAAATGCTTTATATTTAGAGTGTATTTAGATGCTATATTCTTTTGAAAGAATATATTTACAACTTGTTAAGATCAGTGTATGAACTGACTGGCCCAGTGTTTATCACAGTTTATTAATGTCACTAAAGCAGCTTTTAGGTAAACTTCTTGCTATAACAAAAAGACAACTGTTCTTAATATTAATGGCATAGTCTTTGACAAAAAGAAGTCATAAGAAAAACTGGTACCAGCTGGTTTCATATTAAACAGTTCAGTAACAATGATATCAACACTTATATGAATTTTGTACCTGATTCACTAACATTTTAAAATGAAGATCTTGAAAAATATATCAAATAGGTCAATTTATTTGGCTTACTGAGCGTATATATTTAACACAACTGATTCCTAAGCTTTCTGAATACAATTCTTTATTTTTAACCCTCTTTTATTGAGGTATCAAGGAAAATTAGTAAGAGTACAGTTTGATAAGATTAGAAATGTGTATACCCATGAAACGATCACCACAATCAAGACAGTGAACACATCCACATAATGTCCCAAAGCTTCCCAGAACCCCACCGTAATTTCTCTTTTATCCCTGCCTGCGCCTCACTCCCAACCCAGGCAAACACTGGTTTGCCACTATCAATTATGTTGCATTTTCTAGAGTTTTATATAAATGAAATCATCCAGTATATGTTTGTATTTGGCTTGGCTTCTCTCACTCAGCATTATTATTAGGGGATTCATCCATGTTACTATGTGCATCAATATCAATAGTTCATTTTTTTTTTTTTTTTTTTTTTTTTAGGAGTTTCGCTCTTGTTACCCAGGCTGGAGTGCAATGGCACGATCTCGGCTCACCGCAACCTCTGCCTCCCGGGTTCAGGCAATTCTCCTGCCCCAGCCTCCTGAGTCGCTGGGATTACAGGCACGCGCCACCATGCCCAGCTAATTTTTTGTATTTTTAGTAGAGACGGGGTTTCACCATGTTGACCAGGATGGTCTCGATCTTTTGACCTCGTGATCCACCCGCCTCAGCCTCCCACAGTGCTGGGATTACAGGCGTGAGCCACCGCGCCCGGCCTAGTTCATTTGTTTTTTTAAAGTTGCTGAGTAATTTCCAATTGTATGTATAAACCATAATTTGTTTATTCATTTGTTCACAAACATTTCAGCTGTTTCTAGTTTTGGGCTATTACAAATAAAATTGCTGTGAATATTCTGGATATAAGTCCTTTATCAGATACATGCTTTGCAAACATTTTCTCCTCATCTGTGATTTTTCATTCTCTTAAAAAATGTCTTTTAAGGAGCAGATTGTTCATTTTGGTGAAGACTCATTATCAATTTGTTCTTTGAAGAATGAGCCTTGCTGGGTGGCTCATGCCTGTAATCCCAGCACTTTGGGAGGCTGGGGCGGGTAGACTGCCCGAGGTCAGGAGTTTCTGAGCGGCCTGGCCAATATGGTGAAACTCCATCTCTGCTAAAAAATATGAAAATTAGCCAGGCATGGTGGCTGGCACCTGTAAACTCAGCTACTCGGGAGTCTGAGGCAGGAGAATCGCTTGAACCTGGCAGGTGGAGGTTGCAGTGAGCTGAAATTGCACCATTGCACTCCAGCCTCGGTAACAAGAAACTCCCATCTCAAAATGAAAGAAAGAAAGAAGAAAGAAAGAAAGAAAGAAAGAAAGAAAAAGAAAGGAAAGAAGGAAAGAAGGAAAGAAAAAGAAAGAAAGAAAGAAAGAAAAGAAAGAAAGAAGGAAA